TGTATTTATTATTTTATAGCTAGTCATTTCGTTTTTGAAAATATTCAGCCCTTCAGATATTGCACTTTGAGACTTCGATAATTATGTGTCGAATGCTTTGTGATAGAATGATTCTGTTTGGCACTGAACGTATTTGAGAACACTTGTTTGATGTTTATTATTATAAAGCGGTGGTCCCTACGCTGCGATGCTCCACTGTCTCATCGATGGTCTGGCAGGCCGTCATTACCCGCCTCTCCCCTCCCGCTACAATAATTTACTTTGTTTCTGTGCATAACGTCAGAACTAATTCCCCCTATTACCACCTGATCCCCCCCCCCCAGGTTACTCAAAAATGGGTAATTTCCCCTCTCCCACCCATGGAGATCCCTGGTATAGAGGAAGAGAACGTATTATAACATCAGTCTTGCGAGAGAATGTTTTCGATTCTCATGAATGCGTTATTCACATAATCGTTACTAACTTATTTATTTAGGTGTTGTTATTATTGTTGTTAGCAGTGTTACTGTTGATGATAACGGTGTTGTTATCGCTGTTGATTTTGTAATTCGTTTGTGTCACTTTTGCAAATGAAGTTCGTTTGAAACGGAGTGTAAAATCAGGCAGATTAGTGAAGGATGCATTTCGATTCGTGATTCTTAAATAAATACGGTATGAAGTTTTGGTGGTGCTAGAAGTGGAGCGGTTGATTTGTCTTATTATTTGTTCATTCTTCCAATTTTTAGGAAAGTTTTTCCAATTCCTTCAAAAAGTTCGGTTTTTCATTAAGTGATTGTTGTCAATGTTGTGAAACGTTTGATGAGTTTACTGCGATATTTTTCCTCGATTTGTTCAATTTTTAAAATCTTCTTTAACTTTTCGGTTATTTCTTGTTGAGTTTCGTTATTATCGTTGCGGTAATCCTGAATATTGTTGTTATTTAGTGCGGGATTTTGTGATTTTTGTGTCGATTTCAAATAATCGCTTTTTGCTGTTGTGTCTTGTTTCAGTGATAATGCTTGATTTCGATTTTGCAGTTTTACACAGTTCTGCAAATTTTTTGACTACATGTCGATTTAGCTCTAGGTTTCCGGAAAGGGGCTCTACCGAATAAAGGAAACTGATTGCTGATAAAGTCTGATATGATAATTACTTTGATTTGATGAACTTGTAAGAACAATTCCTTCGTATTGTTCTTTTATGAATTTTCAAAACGATGATTTCAATTGTGATTCTAATTTGTTGTTATTCTTAAAAAAGTTGTTCGTTTCATTCTTACTTATTGCTTACATTCTCATATTTTATCATTACGTTTGATTTTCACTGAGTTTATCGAAAATTCGGTGTGAGTGCAGATTATTATTGTTCAATGCACGCTTCGTGTTACTGTGTTCATTTGCAGATTTTTTTTTGAGTTCGTTCAATAATATTCATTGTTTATATCTGTTTCCGTATTTAAACAATATTGTTGACAATCCTTTTCACTTTATGTGATATTTATGAAAAAGTGACCACAAGATCAGGCGATCATCAACAAAAAACATGCAGAAAAAATGGGAACTTATCAGAACCTCTGAAGTTTCATCTTCAGCCATTTATTGATAGAATATTAAATTGCAGTGCGAGTTGACGTGAACAGGGTTGATGACATAAATGGATTTTCCATGGAACCGCAAGGACCCAGGGAAAGTGCCCAGTTCTTTGATTCATCCACGCAAAATTTAAATTACTTAATTGCACATTGCATCAGCCATTTCTAGAAGAAAGATGATAGAAGAAAGTTTTTCGTGATGGATATTTGCTTCCTAATAAAGTGCATTCAACTTGTCTGCACCTAATGAGAAAACGTTTTACTTCTCACTGCATAACGCTGACTTCTTTGTTGCCGTAATCAGGGCGCTAATATTGACGATTTCACTTTAGCACATTGTTTCTCACGCTTGGAAGTTTCATTAACTCCTTTGATGGTCGGGCATGCCATCACTATCTCTCCCTCCCCTCACCCCCTTCACCTCCCTCTTCACTCCAAAACGTTTTACCGTTTCCGCACATAACTCGGAAACAAATTGAGAACAGGTCTGAAGAATCCTCAGTAGCGTGAAGGACAATAATTCTGTGAAATATTTTTAGAACTGTATTTATCAATTACAGAAAGAATATGAACGTCAGAATTAACAACGAAAAGCAAACATTCGTCAGCGATGAAAAAATTGAATTTGATGAGCAACTTCATTTATACCCTCAATTACCAGAGCGGGTAAACACTGCTCTACTACAAGTCCATTCCACTGACTTAACTGAGAGTTACATCGAATAAACGTTTCAGTTAACATTGCAGTTGGTTGCGATTTCTACTGAACACTATCGGTTTCTGATATCTGTGCAAATAGTGATGACATCCGAACGGAATTTCATGTCGACCGGAATTCGACCGATCTGACTCTTCCGACCGTCGGAATGGTTCGGTTGGAATATGACAGAATTGACATTTTGAATTTACGACAGTCGGAATTCCGAACGACTTTCGCAATTGTTCAGTTGGAAACCGATCAAATTCACATTTTCACATTCCGATCAACCTTCGGAATGCGACCGAAATTCAGCAATTTCTCGGAATTTACCGAAAAACTTAAAATATGCTAAAATGAAAGTTTTTCTCATGTTGACGACTCGAAATTGTTCAAAACATCTGTAAACAAACACGTGCATTCACATGATGAAAAGTCTGCAGCTATCCACGACCATAGATTCTTATGATATTTATTTCACTTTTGTAAAGACTATTCATATCTTTCATGTTACGACCATTGTAATGGTCTTTTGGCCTGAGCACACCAACAAAATAACATAATGGCAAAAAAGTTAGTATTCCTTACCGTTAAATGAGAAGAACAACATCATTCTAAGGCATGAGATTAAGATCACCATGTCACCTACTGCTGTAGCATAGAACTCGAGTTTACCAGCGCTTCGGTTCATGACCAGATACTTTTTGAGAAATTTGCTGAGATACCGATCGATAAAATGACGAACTGCTGGGTTGAACTCAGATGATAAATGGAGGTTCTGATGTATAAAGATTGAAGTGATAGCATCAATGACGGTTGAGAGAGAAGAAAGTTGAGGTTCATGTCAAATATGCAAGGCAAAGCAAAACTAAATGGACAAGGGAACTGGACGGGGAAATATCGCTGACAAAGTGACAACTGAGAGCTGGAAAAGATGTTGAAGTTGACCGAAAATGAGAGATGAGATCGATCTGCGTAGATGAGAAGGGCAGTGAGCTGTGGTGATAATGGTGAAGGGCGTGACCTTGAAATCAGGTTAATACCAGCACTACTATGGACAACAACGACAGCACTGATAATCATGTTCGATAGTAACGTTGATGCGAGTATTATCAATAAATCTAATTTCTCGCCTTTCATAATGTGCCGAGATAGACTGCGCTTTTCGAGTCATCAGTAAATCATTCTTTCGCGATGCGAAACGAAAAAATGAATGTACACTTTGCAGCTAATTCCGAAATTCGGTCAGAACCCTGCGGTAATGATGGCATCCGAGAGAAAGTTCAGTCAATCAGGATCCGACCGAACTTACATCTCAATATTCCGACTGTCGGAATTGTTCGGTCGGAATCCGAAGGACTCGATTTTTCATCATTCCTACAGTCGGAATTGCGATTGATTGTTGGAATGGGACCTGGGTTCTCGAAATTTCTTATTTGTCTTCTCAGTTCCTCAACAGACTAGCAGCGGACAGTTGAGAAGATGTAATGAAACATTGTAGGAAGCCCTTTCTTAACGAAAAGAAAAAGCCTTCTCATCTTTGCGGTTAGTCGCTCCAAATCTTAAATCTTAACTTCGAGCTATGGGTCTATAATCGTGAGCACTGGCGGCAATCTCCGAACAACGTATTTCTCAAGACTACTCATAAGATTAATCCACTGATTATACGAGCATCGAGACCAAATCCTTTCGAATTGTTGAACCGCTAAGATTATAAGAATCAAATATTTAACCAATAAATTTGTTGAGCATTGTCAGTGAGGGGAATGCATCCAACTATGGTTTCGGTAATTAACCGAGCAGTGGAATCGAAGTGACATTCACTCGACTGAATGAATAACTTATCAGCCGAGAGATGACGCGGAATGATGATTTAGGTGTGTGACACCAATCGAACAATAACAATTGAAACGAGTGTGTTGCGGCACGAAAAAAAGTCGGGAATGAGGAAAATCGGGACCGTTGAGATGTGGTCGGCTCGAAAAAAGTCGGGCACGGAAAATCGTGGACGGGTACCCTAAAATTCCTGGTCCCCGCAACAAACTAGTTAAAACCATATGCCTCAACAGCAAACAGATTACCACGGGTTTCCATATGAAAGATTTTTCTTGTCCGGAGCCACTAACTGATACATCCATGGAAGAAATCACCGAGAAGGAATTGCGAATTGCAGCCATCCAAAAACATAAGGTAGTTTGTTTTACCACCTGAGACTGCACGGACGGTCATCCTTCTAAAGATCCCAAAATTATTTGGAACTGACTCATTCACGTGGCATAAATTATGAAAATGATAATCAGCATGTTTTTGAAAGTGTGTTTGCATCGAAATGTTTCTTCACAAACTGTCTGTTCAGCATCCGTCCAAGTCGTATTGAATGTCTCGCAACCAGTTAGTGCACATGAAAAAAGTTCATCGTAAAAATATCATTATATTGATGTAAATACCTCAAAAAGAGATGCAATAAGAGTGGAATCGTTGAAATGCGCGCATGATATTGTTACGTTGAATGATTAGATCGATACAATGCGCTACTAATAAACACAAATACGTTTGTAAGGGTGGGTGATGTGAATTCAATTCGATTAATTGTGCACACGATGAACCTTCTTATAACACAATGCACATAACTGGTTGCGGTCATTAACATCTGAACAACACCGTCGATGTTCTCGTGTCTCATTACATTCCTCATCGTTTCATTCGTTTTTCGTAAGTTTCATTTCACTGTTCGAACATTTTTTCATACACTTAACTCAGTTTCAAAGATTTCTTATCAGTGAATATCACAAACATAACGTTTCAAGTCAACTTTTAACTCTACATCCATTGAATCAAGCGAGCATTTCAGCTCTAACATGATCGTGAAACACTTACAGTCCAATGTCCCATTTCGTGGAAAAATTTTTCAAACTTTTAAATCGCTCCATATTCATATCTGTTAGCTGGAGAATAAGTTCCTCGAACGTTGCGCTTCAAAACATTATTTCTTGTTCAGTACGAAGATTAAACATCGGAAATTGAGTTTTCTCATTACCGATAATATAGATCAGTAATGAACAATGCAAAAAATTCGTCGATACCATGCACCACGAATAAATTCATTCAAACGAACTGAATAATAGGTTTTTTGAATGCACAGCCGAATCCGTGGTTGTTATTCAGTCAGTTCTGGCCCAAATGTCAAGCACTTATTCCTTTGAACGTCATCAAGAAAAGATGCTGTTTCGACTGAATTGCTTCATTGCCATATGAATACAAAACTTTCAGCAATTCACATATATTTTTGTCAAAACGAACTGGGCGATTGCCTGTGTACTGGAAGAGGTTGTGGATTTGATTTTGTGGAGCACTTAGCGAAGAAGTGAATTTCAGGCGAAACATCAGGAGAACGAGCAGAACAAGGTTTCATAGCGCTGAATTCGTGCTTTGTCTACAAGAAAGGCTATCGACTCGAATTGAATGCGAACGATATCGAAAGCACGGAATCGGTACAGTTCAAGGATGAGTGCTTACGATCTTGTTTAATGGCTATGCTTGAACCAAATGGCTTCACATGCAGATCTTTGATGCATATGCCCAAAGATGATGTCAGTTCATTTATTTACTCACTAGAACATTATCATCATTATCCTTATTACCATTATCGCATTCAATGTGACAACCCTGATCATTTCATTATTACGAGCAAGTCGTTCTTCGTGACAAAGCACCAAGGGATATCATTGCTCAGTTATTCAGTAGCGAAGTCGAGTACCGTTAAAAATACGCTCATTGCCATATGAAAGTAAGTTAACTTGATTTCTTAAAGGATTGTGTATTAACCGCAGTCGATGGTGATAAGGCGATACGAACCGATGAACAACACTCACGAATACCCGTCAACTTCTACGAGAATAAATGCGCTACTCCTCCTATTAAAGGTCAGCTTCGTTTTTATTTTCTGAGATGCGATATGCACAGAAGTGAGCATTATGATAATGGCTCGCGAATGTGACCAGTGAGGATAATGATAATTATATGGAAATAATGATAATAATTATCAGTGCGATCATTATTGTGCTTGTTATTATTACTATATTTTTTACTATTATTTTTAGTAGAATTAGTTGTCATCATTCGTTTATCATTATCGTCAAATCATCAATAACTATAAGCGAATAATTGAATAAAAGTATTATATATATATAAATATATATATATATATATGTATAATGTTATGTAATGTAAATATTTAAGGTGGTATGATTGAAGTGCGATTAGTTGGATATAAAGGTGGTGAAGGAATTGTGCAAATGGTGCAAGCGAAGGGCGATAAACCATTCATATTTGTTGTTGTTGACGGATTACCTGACTCAAAGGTTGTTTATTCAGTCGTCACTGATGTAATTCACTTCTCTGCATCATCATTCATTAAAAAAACACGTTCATCTACTCCAACACTGTACGCAGCCAACAAAACATTTCCCAAAGTTCCATCATGCAAATTCATTCAACAGTCATTTGATTTCCCTTCCTTATCGACCCCTCCTCTGACTTATTATAGCAGCGTTTCTGACGAAAGAGATTTCATCTCAAAATTAATGATTCTAGCAAAATTTCAAATATTTAATGCAGGCTTTCCCTCAAACTATCAAAATGCTCCCAACATTCAAATACTTTCTGTTGAGTATTCGCTAAAATCATAAGAATTTATATGCTTATTTACTGTAAAATTTTTTATTTTTATCGCTATTATTAGCATTATTATCATTCATCTTATTGTTATCTTATTATTTATTATTATCATTATTAATATTTATTGTTATTTCTATTATTGTTATTATTATTATTATTATTATTATTATTATTATTACTGTCATTAACAGAGTTATTTTTGTAATCATTACAATGATTGGTGTCATTTCGAAAATCGAATGAGGAGCAAACAACAAATTGCAGTCGTTCGATGTTTTATACCACGAGAATGAGGTACAAGATTGCTTCCGAATGACACGTGAGGAGAGGAACAATGCTAAAAAACTGACAAAAATTAGTGCTGATAAGAGTGGTATGGCTGTACAGGTAATGTCTATTGCTGCAATGCTACAGACTCGATAATTCGTTTGACAATTCATTCTGATAATTGCATTTGAATAACTCTTGAATTATCCTTTACGATGTTTTTACTCCAAGCTGATGCTCTCTGTTGAGTATGGCTAAGAAAACTTATTGTACCTACATATCAGTCTTGATACGTTCTTCATTATGGATTATGAATTCAAACTAAGACTTCTCTGAATTTCGAAGAGCCATTTCGTTCTTCAGGAATGAAATTACTGCAGGATTCCAATGATTTTTGGGTTGTTTCAAAGTGAGAATGTTACCGGAATTGCAGTGAATAGTAGCAGATTTCGTATTAAGATAAGCGATGCGACAACGAAACTTGATAATGACATCCGCTGAGGTGTTTTCAGCCGTGGAACACGATCGATTTTGATATTCTTCGAGATTCGGCTCTCAATAAGACGATCGCAGTGGTTGATAGCAGGACTGGTGAACCGGCAGTGTGCGGTAGAATAAAAATTAAGGGCGATAAAGCTGATTGGCAGTCGGCAAAGAACGCTTCTCAATCATCTTATAACTTTTTATCAATTTACTTATCATTTTTCATTTATTTGATTCTATCAATTTGATCATTCCGCCCGCATCGTCATGTTCTTTTCTGATCGATTACAGTTCAAACTTTCTGCATCATAATTTTCTGCGTTACTAACGAAGAATTAAATTGTTCAGTTTACGTTCTTTTGAATCGTATAAATTGTAGTTAATAAACCAAATTGTAAAAGATAAATATTTCATCATCAAACCTATCGATATCACTATGCGTTTGGTCTTGTTTCTTCATCAGTTCATCCAATGTTCATCATTATGAACTCAATTGACGCATAAATGATAAAGGATATAATATTGAAGCTAGATGAGTTCGGTTTCTTTTTCGTTTAATTGGGACATCAGCGGTTTTTTTAAATCAAGCGCTTATAGGACATACCTCATCGGTCATACGGTTTAGCTGTAAATTCAGATATGAGGATAAGAAAATTTCCTGGGAATGACAATTTCAGTATCATTTTGAATCCATTTGAAGTGCACTTCCATCAATATTGAATAGAATTTTGTGCAAAATTGAATAGAGAGTGCCATTTGCAATTCATAATTACGCAAAAAATCATTCAAATAACAATTCGAAAATATTCGATAGGAATTCGTCGATCCGTATCTGCAGACATCATTCTACAGCGATCTAAAAGTAATGAGAACAAAACTAGGGCGAAGTGGAAGGAAGACTGAATGGAACAAATCAATCAGTATCAGACAGTAGTGTTTTTAGAGATTTGCATGGCAGAAGTAGGAAAGAATGAAGGGTCATCCCAAAATTAAGTACTGTAGAGCAAGAGTCGACAACCCCGACCCGTGGGCCAAAATTGGCTCGCCGCTCACTTCAGAGATTGATGCTTAGAATTTGTGGCATCACTGACAAAAACAAACATTCATGTAAGCAGCAAACGATTATTCAGTTTATTATATTGACAGCATAATAATATGGCATAACAACATATTAAAATATCAACCCGCTGCCATTTAAATACATCTTCAAAAAATACTGCATTGAATTTCACATAATTTTTTTTCAAACCAACAAAATTTTCATTGTAGCGTTCATCTGAATCTGATAGTAAGTGCATGACAGCAATCCACGTCACTTGAATATGATAGCAAGAAAGATTACATGGAAACACTCATAACAATTGATATAATCATAAGGAGTGGCCACCATTTGACGGATCCAGCTGATTTGCTCGTCGTTGTTATTGTTGGGATGGTTGCGGGCTCAATGTTTGGAATGCACTCATCATTGCAGAAATTCGATGAGTTGCATATCAACGTATCGCAAAGATTCCCTTGTGCGTCAAATCTGAAATGGAATCTCGATTCTGGAACGTTCAATGCGATGATCGTGCACGAAAATATAATATTTCCATGAAATATCACATCCATACAACCACAATAATGGCGTTACGGATGGAGTAATTGATAATGTCCATATCCTTTGCAACGATAAATTCATTTCTGATGTATTTTTGGTCATTCCACGTTTCATTCATCTCGACATATGCTTCTTAAATATTCCCNTGAATTTGCGAACATTCCGCTATTCGCTGAGAAAATTCACTCGAGGTGGAGAAGTTATTCAACCGTATCCCCAAGACGCATAATCAAAAAAAGGACGCATCATCTAGGGAATGAAACTGGCCGCTGCTGAATTACTTCGGAACATGTAATTGTCATTTGTGGTAGTGTAGATGTTGCTGGTAAAGTTTATGATGCATTTCAACGCATTCCATTGCGAAGCAATTGGCATGAGTTTGAATTAGTTGTAAAGGCGAAATGATTGCTAGGTAGAGTATAGAAACTACAAACAATATAACTCACGAATGAATACATCGGTTAACCGTATTTATGACCTCACCGTTCAGCGCCACAGCATAAGGTGTTGGCAAACAACTTTTAATTGAACGGAACTCAACACCGCCACCCGAAACTGTTTGAATTTTTTCTGAAATACGAATTGCATTTGTATCAATCTTCTCGCAAGTTGATCTGATCAGTGACGGAATGATCAATAGTGGTACGCAGTTGATCAAGAAGAACAATAAGGACTCTCACTTGAAAGACTCTCACCGTTAGCGGGTTATTCTCAGTTGAAAAAAGTGGCAGTGGAGTTTATGAGTCATGCATCAGAGCGTAAATGTCGATTCAGTTGAAAAAACATGTATCTCTATTAGTAGAAAATTGTGTGATAAAAACTGCTGGGTGCAGTGTTATAAATCAGTGATGGCATCCGGTGAACGATCGCTACGAAAATGCGACGACTTTCGGTTGGAATTCAAAACAAACTGACATCCGAGTGATCGATCAACTTACGAAAGAGACAATATCCATTTGGAGTTGTCGTGCAGTTGGCGCTTTGACAGTTTTCAGTTTCTTCATCACACTTAAAGCATTCCAAAGAATTTGTCGCTAAAAGCAGAATTATTTGATTCAATTGAAATCCGTTTCTTGAGTTCATAAACAATTTTACGCACCACTGAAGAGTTTATTAGTTATTAAGCTGTAAAAAAAAGTGCTCTTCAAAGTACGAGAATATGATAAAGATGAGCCGAAATGCTCATTGTTCGGCGACACGAATAGATGTGACATACCTGGAACGAGTGTAGGTGGAACTGGTGTTTGGGGTTGGGATGTGCATTGCGAATCCATGTTGCACAGATTTGTATCGTTACATATGTATGTTTCATAGCGTTGCCCATCTGTCACACTAAAATCGCAGTCCGATTTAGTGATAACTCTCGATTTCCAAATCAAACTCATTGCTTAAAAGAAATTATCTGAGCCAAAAAAAAGTTAATATACAAGACAATCGTTTCATGTCAATAAAACGATAATATTTTCTTCATCCTAATTTCTCGGTGCTAGAATCAGACTTGGACTTCCTTCAAGCCTCACTCTCAGACTTCATTCTAGCTTTGGTTCCTCCATGTCAACCAGGAATTAAGGCATCATAGATGTTCTGAACAATGAATAGTTCAAATGAAATATCCGTTAAAAATCAATTGAGTTTGACAAATGGTGCAACAAAATGAAAACAAACGATTCAACGCAANTCAGTTTATTGTCTCATTCACGACTTTCATTTCTTGCAGTCAAATAGTGCATTGATGAGAAGGATTCTTCGAATCAATTCTCACTTTTGATTTTAAAAGCGAACCGTTCAGAATGGAGAAATCATTCAAAATCACTTTATCGTAGAAATCTGAACATGTTCTTCAGATGAAATGATTTCTACTTATTTCAGTTAAATTCTGAATTTTCCATAACTGCAATGCAGGAACGTTCCCGAAAAACGATTATGTTGTTGTTATATAATTACTCAGATGACACTGAATCAAATGAACGAAAAGGCCACTTACGAAAAGCGCAATAACCGGAAACACTGGGAGCAGTCGAGCAATACATCGCCAAACAAGGCTCACTCGTCGCATTACAAGAGAAACAAAATAGTGCATTCGTGTCTAAATTTCAATGGAAAATTATTCACAATTGATTATCGGTAAACACCCACTTAACTGCATAACTCAAATATTATATATTGTTCATCGCTAATTCTTATCGGCCCACAGCAACCAACTTTTCATAACGTAATGCTCATTGTAATTCATTGCATCATTCAGTATACAGATCATGTAAATAGCAAACGGTAATTTGCAGGTTGTAAGCAGCTCATGAGTGATCAGTTACCAATCCGTGATTTAATAAGGTGAGCACTGGTTGAGTGTTCGTAGGGTATACACTAATATGGTATGAGAGTACATTTCTTAGCATAACAGTACATTTCTGCCCGAGTATATTTCGTGAGCCGTTCAGGGGTATTGTTGCATTATAGGAATGAGACCGTCGAGTCTCATACCTTGAAGAGAATTGGGCTTAAAGATTCGAGTTATGGCGTTTAGTGATGCATGAACAACGTAAATTCAATCTAACTGCCTGAATCAACCGATCGCAATTTCCTGAACCTATGCCAAGCAATCAGCATTACGTGACTTAGGTTCAGTGAGCACGCTCTATATTCTTCAAATTCATATAACTCAAAACAAACTGAAGTGAACACTTATTGATTTGTCTAAAATTTTATCAATTATTAGCTGTAGTCGGATGACCTCCTAAGAGGTGGGAATACAGCATCTTCAAGTGGCGAAGGGAAGCGAGGGATAGTAAAATCCTGAGAGCATGGCGTTATGAGTGAGGGTTCGGCCGACTGAGATATTCAATTAATTCATTTGTTAAGAATTAACCGGCGATTGTACCCAGTTGAGAACCTTCACAAAAGAATTATTCCAAAATTCCTGTTTTTTGGCCTGATATTATCATCCAGGACTAATTTCGAATTTAACTAATTTTTTTTCCATTTATTCAACAATAATTCATTCATTCAGCATGATCGGTACGACGATGAAACAATTTGATGAAATGTATATTAAAAGTGTATGTTGATGCCTTGTAAACAATAAGATTTAATAAATTCATCTTAAAAACTTATGATGATGTGACTGAATCAATTGATAATCGCATGATTACGTAGTATGTTCTTGAATTTATCAACTCAAAATTCGAAATATCATTTCAGGATCTTAGATTCTTTTCGGAACTAACGTCTCTTGGTACACGGATTTTAAGGATGAAAATATGGAAGAGAAAACGAATGAAGAATACCTTTCAGATGAATGAAAAAGCTCGCGGTGAACAGAAGAAAAGTGAANACAGTCAAAATCACACTGCTATGAAAATGAGCAAACTAAAAATGAGTGGTTCGTCATGTTGATAGCTACATTTATTTATCTATATTCGAATGCAATTTCGCTGGGAAGTACAAGAATTAACGTCATATAGAATACTGGCGATGAAAGTGAGAGGTAAAAGTATCAAGAGTGGGCAATTCAGTGACTTTCTTAGTGATACATTGATGCTTATTTGAACGCTTTCTTCAAACGTCGAAAACGACATTAGCTATCAGTCATGTTTATTTACAGAACGCATTTCTACGGGGTATGTGACGCGTAAGTGTGGAAGATTGATT